ATCAGACAAGAGTAGCGATGGGTGCTGCTTGGGGCCGTTAGTGTGTTATAATAGTGACGGCAAAATCCCATTATTTGATCAGACAAGAGTAGCGATGGGTGCTGCTTGGGGCCGTTAGTGTGTTATAATAGTGACGGCAAAATCTTATTATTTGATCAGACAAGAGTAGCGATGAGTGCTGCTTGGGGCCGTTAGTGTGCTATAACAACGACGGTAAAATCCCATTATTTGATCAGACAAGAGTAGCGATGGGTGCTGCTTGGGGCCGTTAGTGTGCTATAACAGTGTACGGTAAATCCTATTATTCGGTCAGACAAAAGTAGCGATGGATGCTGCTTGGGCCGTTAGTGTGTTATAATAGATGACTTGGGGCCGTTAGTGTGCTATAACAACGACGGTAAAATCCCATTATTTGATCAGACAAGAGTAGCGATGGGTGCTGCTTGGGGACGTTAGTGTGTTATAATAGTGACGGTAAAATCCTATTATTTGATCAGAAAAGAGTAGCGATGGGTGCTGCTTGGGCCGTTAGTGTGCTATAACAACGACGGTAAAATCCCATTATTTGATCAGCGATGGGTGCTGCTTGGGGCCGTTAGTGTGCTATAACAACGACGGTAAAATCCCATTATTTGATCAGACAAGAGTAGCGATGGGTGCTGCTTGGGGCCGTTAGTGTGTTATGATAGTGACGGTAAAATCCCATTATTTGATCAGACAAGAGTAGCGATGGGTGCTGCTTGGGGCCGCTAGTGTGCCATATGTTTAAAATAAAATAGAGTAAAATTATACTTTTTTGTTATAAATAAATTGCATTGATTATTTGTTTTTTCATGGTTATTCAAATGTTGTACCGATTACCTGCTTTTCATGAATGTTCGGATCTTTTAGCGATTATCTGTTTTCATGGATGTTCAGCTCTTCTACTGTTTATCTATTTTCACGAACGTTCAGATTTGCACTGTTTACTATTTTCGTGGATGTTCAGATATTTTACTGTATTTCTATTAGGTTGTCAAGAAATTTATGTCGCCTTTTTTAGATGAAAAAACCCGAACAACTTATATATCAAAACAAAAGATTTATTAAATGAAATTGTTTGTTTGTTTTGAATTTCGCGCCAAGCTACACGAGGGCTATCTGCGCTAGCCGTCCCTAATTTAGCAGTGTAAGACTAGAGGGAAGGCAGCTAGTCATCACCACTCACCGCCAACTCTTGGGCTACTCTTTTACCAACGAATAATGGGATTGACCGTCACATTATAACGCCACCACGGCTGAAAGGGCGAGCATGTTTGGTGTGACGGGGATTCGAACCCGCAACCCTCATATTGCGAGTTGAGTACCCTAACCACCTGGCCATTGCCGGCCCAAATGAAATAATCTCCATTCTTGTCGATAATGCTTTTACATTTTACAATAAGGTTGTTAATGTCCTGATTAAAGAAATCACTTGGCTTTGAAGAAAAAAACATGTCGATGTCCTCTTTAACACCTTCCACATTTGCATACGTTTTGCCATTAAGTTGGTGTTGCAGCGAACGAAAAAGGTGGTAATCTGATGGTGCTATATCTGTAGAATATGGAGGGTGGGGAGAACTTCTCAACCCAACTCCATAATATTGTGTTGCGTCAAATGTGCCACATGTGGACGTGCATTGTCGTGGAGAAGAAGAACACCTTTCCGATTGACGAGTGAAGGGCGGATGGAGTCCAGGTTATGGGGTTGGAAGTGGTTTTTGTCTAGGACTGAGCCATTGTTTTTGGTATTTGATATTTGCATAGAGAATCCATTTTTCCTCACCAGTAACAATTCTGTCCAAAAATGGTTCACACGTATTACTTGCCAGAAGAGACAAAGCAACGTTCACACGTTAGATTGTTTGTAATTAAGTACAAAGCTACAAAATGGACTATCTGTGCTCTGTCCGCCAAAGGTATCGAAACCCGGATTCTAGCGTTGTAAGTCCGCAAACATACCGCTGTTCCATTGGGGGCCACACGTTGAAACGATGATCATCGGATAGTTCGTGAGGCACCCAAACACCTTCTTTATGAAGTTTTCCCATATTCCTTAGATGTTT